CCCCCCCCCCCCCCCCCCCCTTACTACCGATTTTCAAAGCTCGACGAGGAGTGGCGGCGGCGTCGGAACCATCTCTGGTCGTGAGCTCTCCGAAAACGTTGTCATTTATTTTTTCTGTGTCTCTTTCGTCGTGGAGAAATGGTTCGTCGTGGAGAAATGGAGCTTTGAAAGTCGGTCCAGGGGGTATGATGATGCGACTTACGACTTATGGGGAACGTAAGGCGCGTGTAGTGTGTATGTGTGACCTGCGTCGAAAGCTTTTTGCGCTTGTTCATTCCCATCGCTTTGGCGCTTTTTGTGGCCACAGGTTACGTCCGACGACATCCAAAGCATGGCACGAGCGTTGACCTCAGAAGAACAGGAGTGCGTTATCAACGCCATGGTTCTCATGGGTTTCCTCAACCGTTTCATGTGAGAAAGAATTTTCGTAGATTTCGTATATGCACCTACACACTGCAGCAACGTTGCACGTGACATATAATTTTTCGTACGTAGATTTCGTACGTGCATTTACTACACACGTGACGCCGTAGTCTTCTGCAAGTAAGGCCGGTGCAGTCGCGTGACACGCGCAACTTTTTCAGTTGTCTCGTTCTACTCTGAATAGTACCGAGCGCCTGGTACAAGGCCGGCCAATAGCTTTAAATCCTGTTTCGTATCATGTTTTCCCCGTCATTTTTCTGACGAAAAGACACAACAAATATTCATCTCTTCCACAGATGAGAGTCCGGGATAGACTTGCACTGAATTTCTGAAAGTAGAGAGGGGCGCATCGCTGGGAACTCGGAGCGTCGAACCCTCACGGAAGCATACGCTAGTCTGTGGATAGGTTAATGATGACCAACGATTGCTTTTGTTCACGAATGGATGAATCCCCAAGGGGCACGTTCGGCATGACGCTGGAGCTGGAGCCGCTAGAGACGGGGAACAAACACCTGGCGGAGAGCGGCTGGACGGCTGGGATATCGTTCGATCCGGAGGGAGACGAGGAGCTCATGGAGGAGGACCGTGCCATGGCTGAAAGGCGGGAGGAGCGGAAGAAGCAGGCTTGTGGAGGCTTCACCTGTGAGCACGTAACTTTTCTCGCGACTGTATGTAACAGCTAGGGCCAATATTTATGGCATGTAGCAATCTTTTTTCAACTCGAAGCATTTTATTTTTTCTCGTTGGGTAGTAAAATTACAACCTTGTTCTCTTTTTGTCGGGTTTTTCCAGAGAATCACCGGTGTTGTTTCTGTGGAGTATCACTCGAAGAAGTGTGCTTTTGTTGGTGAGGTGGGTTAATTACCGTTTACCATCCCCGTGGCATCTTGGTTTTCGGCGTCTATTTTGTCCATGCATCAATTCAAAGTCTGAAATAGATCAGTCAGTTCTACTGCGGGCGGAGACTTCGCCTAGGCTGGCGAAAACTCAGCATTGTAGGGATGCAAGGTCAACGGTCTAACGGAATGCGTTTACATGAGGACACCCTCCTCCTCCCCAGTCATGAACATGCCGATTGGCGCAAAGGTGTCCGACAGCGCCAGCCTCAAGGAAACCCCTCCCTCGGAGAAGAATGTCAACCCCACCCCCCCACCCCCCCACCCCTCTCAGTCCTGAAAATGCTGGTTGGCGCGAAGATGGCCGACAGCGCCAGCCTCAAGGGAACCCCCACCTCGGAGAAGAATGTCAAGCAGCTCTGCACCGAACGCGCGGGCTTCGCGCCCTACTACCTCGTCGGCGAAGAGAAGAGCAAGATGGCCAACGCCAGGAACGCTCTCGTGTGGGCCTTCACGCGGCGTCTGTGCCAGGGGTCCGAGGAAGTGCCCGCCGCCACCAAGCAGGTCAGCAGGGCGTTTGGGGCAACAGCAGTCAGTCTCGGTCCCGATACGTATATCGCGGTATGACGCTCTACAGCAGTACAGCAGTCAGTCGTGGTCCGACATAGGGTAGATGTTCCCATATATATGGCTGTGGTCAGACAGCTGACAATGGCAATGACGTTGTAAAACAATCCGATCACTTCGTGAGCTCGGCAACCAGGTTACTGTTTTTTTTTTGCGTCTGTTTTTTTTATTGCGGTAACCATAACGGTGGTCGAGTAGATCATGTTGTGCGGGGTCGAGAACGCTCACTCCGTGCAAAGGGGATAATCGCACCACGTTGTGTTAAATTGGTCAAGCACTCTTGAGGCAGTTAAAATAGGAGTGCTTGTAACTGTCTCTGGGAGTGAAAGCACCAGAAAATAACTAAGTCACACGGAGCTGTCATTCGTACGCAAGGAAGTAAGCACAAGGTGCCGAACACCCTTAACAGGGTGCAGCACACCCTTCATGTGACTCGCCGAATACCTCAGGGTGCTTCGCGCTTGGTGATGTGAGAGCCTGGTCCGGTGAGAACCCGGCGTGCTCCGTCCCGACTTTGTAGGGATGCGAGGTCAATGGTCTAACGACACGGCATGCACCACTATGAGTACCCCCCCGAGCCACCTTTGGCAAAGGAGGAAGGATACGATTGGCCATCGGTGATTCGGTCCTGTGGGAACAACGTCCCGTCCCCTCGAGGGCGCGTGATCCAACGGTCTAACCGCTAAGGCATGCAGTACATAGGAGTACAACCCCCCCCCCCCC